TCCTTACTTATGTCTTAATTCATAAAGTCACTAACTTGGTGACTTGCAATCCACCAAATAAGCTCAAACTCAAAATGTGACAACATACTTTCATTCCAAGGGCTAGATCTCAAGAATGAGCACAAATAAGTCCTAAAGGTTGGAAATTTACTGTTTATAGGACTTATATGACACTAAAGGAGGCAACCCTGGACATAGAAACGTGCTTGAGTCTCAAAGATTCATTCTTGGGACCAAAAGAGTCCATAAACTTGTACTAAGAGAGATATAACAAATTAATCATCAATTTCAAAACTTTATACCTTAAAAAAGGTCCGAAATGAAGCAAATATCCCAGATATATATCTCCTCCTTCAGCTCACCACCTTCCTTGTTCTTCACTTGTTGAGAAAATGGCTTTACAACACTAGAATACTCTCCAAAGGCCTCCAAAGCTCAAAAAGCACTCAAAGGAGAGTTAGGGTTTCGTAGTAGCTCTTTAGGGTGGAATGGAGGCTGAAACTTGGGGTATAACATTCCTTATATAGTGGCATGCCCTAAAATTAGGGTTCCTAGACACTGAGCGTATGTTGGGCGTACGCCAAAAAGCTCCAGCGTCCACCACCTTTCATACGTTGGGCGTAACCCAACTTACGTTGGGCGTACCCACGCACCTCCTACTTTCCATGCATGTCCCTTCTTTGCCAACTTTTCCATTGAGGGGCCAAAAATGACAACAACTTCAAAATGTTATAGCTCCTTCATCCTAAGTCTGTTTCCGGCGAACTTTATATCCACGAAAAAGTGATGAGAACTACGCTTCTAGCAACACACCCCGACCCGAATCCTTCTCGAATAAAACTCAAAGTCCATAATGACCAAAACCCCCTAGCCTTGGCTTCTGAAATCCCTAAATGAATATTTTACAACAGGGCGTTACACCTTGATAAATAAACCAAGAGATCATGACAGATCAATACATATTGACAGGAAATACCACTTCATCAGACATAGAGTAGAAGAAGGTCATCTCGTAGCAAAGAGGGTATCATCAGAAGAAAATCCTGCATATCCCCTCACAAAGGGTCTGAGTAGGGTCAAACACATTCAACATGCTAAGGGCATTGATTCGAAAGATGATATTAGTTTTAGTAGTTAGATGGTTATTTTAAAACTTTTAACAAAGTAAATGTAATTGGCTTTTGGTGATTAAATAATAGAGAATTATTTATGAGTTTGTTTACTACCTTTTCTTAATTGTTTATTATTGTGTTTCATTTTTTCATGTTTTACTATCGAATAATTCAATTATTCAAAAGTCCATATTCGGTCATACTTTCAGAAGTAAGTAGTGAATTAAGACTATCATGAATTGAACTGTAGATTGTCTAATGAGATTTAGACATAGTAATGATTTTGCTGCAATATTCATGAGTACTTTGAAATGGAGATTTAAGTATTGGATTAACCCATGCTCATAGAATTACTTCATGAAATTTATCACGAGTAATTATGAGACAATAACATCCTATAATACTGAAAAAGAGATATATGAGTTGTGGTTTGCAAGTCAGTTGTGCATTGATGAAACGTAAACGCATCAGTAACTTGATGTTATAAAATGTATTGTTGTTCATGATCTGATAAGTGAATGATGCAAGATATAAGTCAAAGTTTATTCGTTCATTTGCCTTAATTGGAAAAACGATATCTTTGGGCCCGTCAATGATTTGGTATTAACTTATAGTACCGGGCCCGACCAGGACTAAATTGATGTGTTTGATTAGAAGTTATATGTCATCACAAATCAAAAATCGGGAGCCAAAGTACTGGACAATGAGATTGATTTTTTCCATGTCTCATGTCCGAATGATATCTTACAGAATGGAGGATTATGATCACTTATCTTAGGACACGTAACCGACTGGGTTAGAGTTCGACAACGGCTTTTGGAAGCTACAATTTGCTGATCAGTTTAGAAGTTATACTGGAAATTATAGTTATTAGACTTATCAAAGTGGGAGACTGCAGGATTAGGTGTCATAGCCCATAAGTATAATTGCTATAAACTTGAATTGGTAGTAGCATAGTCATTTTGGGTTGCCCTCAAACCTAGCAACTAGACAAGATGATTTTAAAAATAGAGAGAGGTTGATTTATTATTTGAGCTAAAATTGAAATATTTGATTTATTAATATATTAGAAATCATATTATTTAATTAATAATTAATCGGAAATTAATTTTGGGATTAATTGAATTAATTAAAAATGCAGGGTCTATTTGGTTATTTATTGAAAGTTGAGGAAAGAAGCCCAAGGACCTCAATGGATGAGGTGGACGAAAATCACTTGGGCAAGCCCAAGGAGTTTTTTTTTCCAAGTCCCTTTAATGAGGGGAATGGGCTACTTGGTCACCAAGCAAAGGGATTTAGGGTTTCCTCCTTAAACCCTAGCTTTGGCACCAAGCTACCTTAGCTATATAAAGGGCCATCACCATTCATAATTTTGTGACTCCTCCTCATTATAAGCCTTATACAAAGTTCTTCTTCCTTCTCCTCTCATCCTCTTGCTTGTGTTGGGTGTGATTCCATTAGAGACAAGACAATTATGGTGCTTGCTTCCAAAGGATCAACTAGAAGGTTTCTTTGTTATTTTCTTCAATAACAATCAAGGTATATAATCCTTAACCCTATTGTGGTATTTTCGAAAATAGCCTAGTGTTCTTAGGGTTTCCTTTTGATGCTCATAGTCATAGATTGAATAGAGAAAACATAGTTTTTTATTAGGGTTGCATGCACACTTAAGAGTATAAGTTTATTTGTGATTCATAAAAACCATCATATATCTTGACTCTTAATTTTGGAAATTTTAAGTCAAATATTTACATTTTAGATTTAGGAGCAACAAGTCATGTATATTATGACCAATAATTGTTTTTGAATATAAAGAAAGTTTAAAATACAAGAATAAGGTTTCCAAATCAATTAGTGTTTCCTATTGATAAAGTTGGGGATATCAGATTAAATGATGATCTAATTCTCAAAGAAGTGTTATTTGTCTCACAATCTGAATTGAATATGGTATTTGTTACATCCTTAATAGCGCATGATCAAGATCTAATGGTAAAATTTTAATTTAATCATGCTTTGATTGAACATATTTCAACAGAGAAAGTGATTAGCAAGGGTAATGTTACAAATGGCCTTTACTTGTTACATAATTCATAGATAAGAACTTAAATGGGAACAGAAGTTAAAGTCAATGTTGTTTCAATTCAAAGGTAGCATCAAATATTGGGGCATCCTTCTAAAGACAAAGTCAAATTTCTTGATAGTATTGTGGGTTGTAATAATAAAAGCAATACTTGTTTCCTCGATCTGTTTGTCCAATAGCTAAACATAAATAGTTACCTTTTGTATCTACTAATAATGTTTCATATAAACCATTTGATTTGATTCACTTTGATATTTGGGGTCCATATCACATAAATTCCCATCAGGGTATAGGTTCTTTATATCATTATTGATGACTGTACAAGGTACACATGGATTTATTTGATTAGAAATGAATCTAAGGCACAAGTTCTTATTCCCTAACATTTCAAAATGGTAACTAGACAGTTTGATGCAAAAATTAAGATATTCAGATCAGACAATGCAAAAGAACTACAATTCATTGATTTTTTTTCAAAAGGGAAGGAACTCTACATCAGTTTTCTTGTGTAGAAAGAACACAACAAAATTTTTGTAGTTGAAAGAATGCATCAACATTTTTTTAATATTGTTATAGATTTGATCTTTCAAGCCTCTTTACCTTTAATATATCAAGCAAAATGTGTCCTAACTGCAAATTTTCTTATGAATGGAGCTCCATCAAAAGTTATTGGTAACATTTCACCTTATATGAAGTAGCTTATGTTATTTTGTTTTTACTAACTATTGTATGTCAGAATGCACAAATCTGGAACAATGGATGGAATTAATCAATGGACATGATTTGAGGGTGTATGATATTACAATGGGATAACATGTACCAGATAATCACACAAATTTTAGCAAAAGGGTATTTTGGACAATTAACTACATTTATAAAAGGAAGTTTTTGGATTTTTAGGGATGATTAATTCTCCTAATTTTAAAAATCTGAATTTTTTAATTAATTCAATTTTAATTCTAACGTAATTTTTATACATAATTGATTTTATTCTGTCAAAATTTTTTTTTGTTAGAATGCTGCTCTTTCAGAATTTTATTCGATTAGAATATTAGTGAAGAATAACAACATTTTTGAATCCGGGGTTGAAAAATAACAACATTCTAATATATTTTTATACATCCGAACTTAAATATAAATTCATACATATTCTTACAGATTAAAAGCATTATACATTTTAATATAATTATACATATTCTAAAAGAATATCAACAAAAATGAATAAAATTCTTAAAAATTATCAACATTCTAGAATTGTGAATCTGATCAAACATTATTCATTCTTCAAGTTATTCCTATTAGGTCTTCAACGCAATGATAACAACTAATGCAACCTCATTCATCTTTTCATTAGGGTTTTTCAAATCAATCAGTCCAAACATGAGTGTGTTCGACATAAACAAGAGCAATGATGACGGATATGGGAAGAAACATTTGGTTATACCATTTAGTTGCCATGGATAAAATGACAATAATACCCCTAGCATGCTAAACACGTAATGGTACTGAATGTTGTACAAAAACAAAGATGGAGGATTGTTCAATTGAAAAATAAAAGTTAGAGACTAAATTTATTTTGCCCAAAACATCCATCCATACGCTTTCATTTCAAAATCAGGTGCTAAAAATCAAAATGTACTTTGTCACAGTAATTTCTTTTAGATATAAAAAAAACGTGGTTTTATAAATTCAACATATATATATATATATATATATATATATATATATATATATATATATATATATATATATATATATATATATATATATATATATATATATAAAACGGAGATCTTCTGATCATAAGCTCATTTATTCAACGAAAGTATTGAGCCAACAAAATCGACCAACAGCATACCCAGGATCTGCATACTTCCTTCAGCTTTAAGAACCGGAAACATGATTCCAACCGCATCCTGAATTCGAATTTCGAAATCAAATATCGAAAGCAAAACATGACTCCTTATAAGAGAATTAGAAAATCATAGGCAAAAGGACTCACGGCGATCAGCTCGGCTGCGAGCCATAGCCGTCTCGGTGAAGGGAAGGGGGTAAGCAACCGCCCAACACCGTAGACCCCCACCGCTGCGACTTGAAGAAAGAGAACCAGCGGGCGTGGGTCAAGTACTGCCAATATAGACATCACTCCATCCGCAAATATGCCTCAGAGGCTCAGGTAATCGAAACAAATGCTACGTATTTCGCTCTTAAATGCCTTGTACGCCACAGTCGCGAATGTGTTTATCGTAAATGACACCGGCTGCATGCAGATACTAACCATCAAATCATACTCTGTTATATATTCGCCTAAAAAGTCTACATTTGATCACTTTTGAAAGGATGATCAGTATAGTCTGGCTAATTAATCAACTTGCCTTTCTGAGAGTGTAGAAACAGTTGAGTTGTTTACACGAATCGTTTAGATCATCTATTGGCCTAAGAAGATCACGAAGTAAAACTACATCCAATAGAGCCACCGACATTCCTCCTCCAGTTATTAGGTGTCGCATATTCAACGCATCACCGACTATAATCACTCCCGGAGTAGTCTTTGGTTCAGCTGGCATGCTTCAGTTGGGCATTGATTTTATGTTTCCTCTATCAACTGCTGCTATGAAGGCATCATATAGCTCATGTGGTATCTGTAAGACTTACCATACAGTATTTTAGATCGAATTAATCATGACTATACTCGGAAAAAAAAAACACAAGAAAACGGCGAGATCAAATTGTTGGACTTTAATCCAAACTTGCTACAGAAGACTTGGTCATTTATTTTTCCTAGTCCGTTGGTTTTATTTGATTTAGTCATCAGTATTTTTAGGAGTCAATAAGTAACCTGTTGGTTATTGAAATAGTGGTAGTTGTGGTCCTAGTTTATTGGAAGTCTTTTATTATATAAAGAGTTGTATGTTGCAGTCTTTTTATCAGTTGAATACAACAAAAAATTGCCGCAAAATACTCTTGCAATTAATCCCTTGTTCTACTCTGTTCTTCCTTTCTTTTTACAGCAATCACAGCACCTGTTTTGCTTACACGTGGTATCAGATCATACTAGGTTGCTCTTCAGTTTGAAGCTAGTATATGCCAAAATACATGCCTCGTAATACCCCTATGGATGGAAAGAAGCAAGATGGTCAGATTACTCTTCATTACCCGATGTTAGCCAAGAACAACTACACTACATGGGCCATAAAAATGAAGATCTTCATGCAAGCCCAAGGAGTTTGGGATGCGGTAGAGCCCTTAGATCCGAAAGCAACTTTGGAAGAGAGGAAGGATAAGATGGCAATGGCTGCCATTTATCAAGGTATCCCGGAAGAGATGTTGTTATCATTGGCGGAAACGAAATCGACAAAGGAGGCATGGTAGACATTGAGAACAATGTACTTGGGTGCTGATCGTGTGAAGAATGCTAAGATTCAGACATTGAAGGCAGAATTTGAGTGTCTAATGATGAAGGAGACAGAGTGTATTGATGATTTTGCAATGAAGTTGAACAACATTGTAAACAACATCAAAGCCTTGGGAGAAACAATAGAAGAGTCATATGTGGTTAAGAAATTCCTAAGAGCAGTCCCTACGAAGTTCTTACACATATCTTCTACTATTGAGCAATTTGGTGATCTCGACACGATGTTGGTCGAAAAGGTGGTAGGAAGACTTAAAGCTCGTGAGGAGCGTGTTCGTGGGCAAGTTGATAACGTCTCTACCCAGCTACTCCTGACTCAAGAGGAATGGAAATCAAGAAGTAAGAAAAAGGAAGAAGGAGAGTCGTATTCTAGTGGTAAATCCTACCATCAACAACAAAATAGGAACTTTAACAGAGGACGAGGTAGGGGCCGAGGAAGAACAAGTAGCGGAAGAGGTGGCCGACATAACGGTTCACATCAGCAAAATCGTGAACATAACAGCTCACATCAACAAAATCGTGAACAAGGACGAGGTGTTGGTGGGAGTCATGACCATAGCACACTAAGATGCTACAACTGTGATGATATCAGACATTTCGCATCACAGTGTCGTAAGCCTCGGCGTAAGAGAAATCTACAGGGAGCACTCTTGGCACATACTCATGAAGATGAACCCGCTCTTCTCATGGCAGCATGCATGGAAGAGGTTTCTGATGTAGTGTTGCTACATGAAAAGTATGTGAACCCAAAGCTTCGGCCACAAGAAGATAAGTCTGTCAAATCCAATTTGTGGTGCTTGGATAATGGCGCTAGCAATCACATGATGGGTCAGAGATCAAAGTTTAGAGATTTGGATACAAGCATCAAGGGTCGAGTGAAGTTTGGTGATGATTTTGTGGTTTGTATCGAGGGCAAGGGTTCAATTCTATTCCAGTGTAAAAATGGCGAACAAAGGCTGTTGCGAGATGTGTATTTCATACCAAACTTATGCAATAACATCATAAGTTTGGGTCAAATTTCAGAAGGCGGTAATAAGGTTTTCATGGATGGGGAAATATTATGGGTATTTGACAGGCATTGGAAGCTTCTTATAAAGACACATCAATCCCCAAACAGGTTATACAAAGTAACCCTTGAAGAATGTGAAAATGTGTGTTTAATGGCAAAGTTGGATGAAGTTGCATGGTTATGGCATGCCCGTCTAGGTCACGTGAATTTTGGTGCTCTGGAGTCTATGGCTACAAAAGGTCTTGTGGATGGTCTTCCCAAAATACATCATCCAAATCAACTTTGTGATGGATGCTTGGTAGGGAAACAGACTCGGAACCCTTTCCTGTCTCAATCCCAGAATAGGTCCACAGTCTCCCTTCAATTAGTTTATGCTGACCTTTGTGGACCAATTTTACCACCAACAAAAAGTGGAAACAAGTATTTTTTTTATTACTTGTTGATGATTACAGCCGTCCTATGTGGGTTTACATGTTGAAGAACAAAGATGAAGCATTTGGTGCATTTAAAAAATATCAAGTAGCAGTTGAAAACCAAACCAATCAAAGGATCAAAACACTACGAACCGATCGAGGCAGAGAGTTCATTTCACATGAGTTTACAAATTACTGTGAACAAGTCGGAATTGTAAAGCAAACTACTACACCGTACAGCCCGCAACAAAACGGTGTTGCCGAGTGATGAAACCGAACCATTGTTGAAATGGCCAGGAGTATGTTGAAGAGTAAGGTTCTACCGGTGAGTTTATGGGGTGAAGCTGTGAGGCATGTTGTGTACATCTTGAACCGACTTCCGACTAAAGCATTGACTGATTGTACCCCATATGAAGCATGGTCAGGTATGAAGCCAAATGTTAGTCACATAAAGATTTTTGGTTGTGTAGGTCATATGAAAGTCCCAAAGCCATACTTAAGAAAGCTTGATGATCGTAGTCAAATGGTGATTCATTTGGGCATAGAACCTGGTACCAAAGCATACCAGTTATATGATCCCAAAACTGAGAAGTTGTATATCAGTAGGGACGTGAAATTTGAAGAGGAAAGAAGTTGGTCTTGGTCACAATAAGAAGAAAAACATTCTAATCAATTTGCATCGTTCACAGTGCATAGCACTGATTATTGCAGTCCTAATCTTGAGACACAATCAGAAATGGAACCATCTGGTACTGTTACACCCTTGAGCACTTCTTTACAGGAGAATTTACATGCACACGACATGCCTTCAACTCATTCAAGTGAAGGAAGCAACTCCCTTACACCCAATTTTGGTGACTCCCCAACTAGCGACTCAAGTGAATGTGGGCCAGGAGGGTACAGATCACTTGCTGATGTCTATGCTTGGGCCGAGAGAGTGGATCTTGATGATGATCAGTTGTACTTCATAGATGAAGACGAACCCACAACATATTCACATGCTGTGAAACATGCTGAATGGCAGGCTGCAATGAAGAACGAGTGGGAAGCAATTGAAAAAAAAACCGTACTTGGGAACTCACCGACCTACCGACCGGTCACAATCCGATTGGATTGAAGTGGGTATTTAAGATAAAAAGGGACTCTGAGGGTAATGTGATCAAGCATAAAGCCCAACTTGTCGCAAAAGGATATGTTCAAAAACACGGTGTCGATTTTGAAGAAGTGTTCGCACCCGTTGCTCGCATGGAAACAATCAGGTTATTGCTTGCACTTGCAGCATCGAGAGGGTGGGAGGTTCATCACCTTGATGTGAAATCAGCCTTCCTTAATGGGGAGCTCTAGGAAGAAGTTTATGTAACCCAACCTGAAGGGTTTGTGAAGGAAAATCAAACTTCAAAGGTGTACAGGTTATTCAAGGCGTTGTATGGCCTTCGCCAAGCCCCAAGAGCTTGGAACACTTGATTAGACAAGAGCTTAAAAACTCTTGGTTTTAGTCGTTGCCCAGTGGAGCATGCGGTGTACTCCAAACATATTGGTGATGAAGTCTTGATTATCGGCATTTATGTCGATGACATGATAATAACAGGTACCGATGCTGGTGCAATTGGAAAGCTTAAAAATAGATGCAAAGTCAATTTGAAATGAGTGATCTGGGGCCTCTTTCATACTACCTGGGTATTGAAGTAAAACAGGAGAACGGATGCATTTCATTGAGCCAATCCACTTATGCAAAGAAACTAATAGAGAAGGCTGGAATGGCATATTGTAATCCCACCAAAATACCGATGGAACAGAAGCTGCAGCTTAGCAAACATGGTGAGGGAAAACCCGTAAACCCAACCGTGTTTAAAAGTATTGTTGGCAGTTTATGGTATCTCCTTCACACCCGACCCGATCTCGCATATGTTGTTGGGATTGTGAGCAGGTACATGGAGCAACCCACAACCCAACAATATCAGGCCGTGAAGCATATTCTGCGATATGTGAAGGGATCTATTCATTGTGGTCTCAGATATTCACAACAAGAAGGTGTGGCATTGACAGGATTTACCGATAGTAGTTTGCAAGGAGACATCGATGATCGAAAGAGTACAAGTGGAATGGCATTCTACCTCAACAACAATCTGATTTCATGGTGCTCACAAAAGCAGAAAAGTGTTGCACTCTCGTCATGCGAATCAGAGTTCATCGCAGCTACAGCTACAACATGTCAAAGTGTTTGGTTACGGGCACTACTCAGTCATCTAACCAAACGTCAAGTTGACCCGGTTGTTCTTTATGTAGACAACAAATTTGCGATTTCATTGATGAAAAACCCCGTTTTTCATGGGAGAAGCAAGCACATTGAAGCTCGGTTCCATTTCATACGTGAATGTGTGGAGGAAGGAAAGATCATCGTGAAGTATGTCAGGTCTGAAGAACAACGTGCAGATGTCTTAACAAAAGCAATGGCAAGGGTCAAATTCAATGAAATGAAGGAACTTTTGGGAGTCAAAGATGTTGGAAATGCAATTTCGGATTAAGGGGGAGCATGTTGGACTTTAATCCAAACTTGTAACAGAAGACTTGGTCATTTATTTTTCCTAGTCTGTTGGTTTTGTTTGATTTAGTCATCAGTATTTTTTGGAGTCAATAAGTAACCCGTTGGTTATTGAAATAGTGGTAGTCGTGGTCCTAGTTTATTGGAAGTCTTTTATTATTTAAAGAGTTGTATGTTGCAGTCTTTTTATCAGTTGAATACAGCAGAAAATTACCCCAAAATACCCTTGCAATTAATCCCTTGTTCTACTCTGTTCTTCCTTTCTTTTCACAACAATTACAGCACCTGTTTTGCTTACACAAATACCTATGGAGCCACTTCGGTCTTCAAGTACTTGGCCATTTCACCATTCGAAGTGGAAGGAACTTTTTCTTTAGGGATATCGACCATACAACGAATCTCTGTGTTACTAATCGGATAAAACAAAATGATTGAAGGATCTGCGAGGGTGACGTGTGCATGGTTTGCATATGGAAGATTTGTGTTTTCCAAAACTAGAGCGACGAAAGAAGAAGACGTTTTTATCTGTTATATGAAACCATAATCGGGAGGCTTAAACTTTTTGAAAGATCCATATTAAGGCATTAATGGGAAATAATTATATGGATTGAATACCTTAGGGTAGCAGAGATCATGTCTCAGATTCGAAAAACAACCATCGCAAACAATGGTGAGAGGTGCGTATGCAGTGGTTGCATGGGCATCTTTAGTTCTGTAATGAACTCCATGCACCATTCCTTCTCACTTAAGTAACGAAGTTACAGTCCCTTGCTCTAATTTTACATTGCCCAAAAAAGGTAGAATCTAAAAACAAAAGTAATGGTAATTTACGCATAAAAATTCAGAGTGGAAAATGGATAGATTGCGTTGAATCAGGTATCTACTTGTCGAAATGGGTTAAGGTCGAATGTTGGTTTCAAAACCGATTATGTAATATTCCATGGGTCCCAAAATTATTGTTTGTAGACGAATTATTAATTATCATTAATTCTATTAAATAAAATGACAATAATATCTTTTTGTTGAATTTAATTCCGTAATTTTGTTGCATTTAATGTTATGTATGGTAGATGAGATGTATTTTGGTAAAAAAAATATTTATTTTTAAAAATATGCTATTATTTTGAAACAAACAAAAAAAAATTAACTATTTATCCGAGACGAAAAAAGTATTCAAATTAGAAAATTAGGTATAATAAAAATAAATGATCTTTAGATTACTACGTATATCATTTGATCACTAATATTTTTTAATTAGTTAAAAAGAAAATTAATGTCTCACCATCTAAAGTATTACTACGTAGATCATTTGATCACTAATATTTTTTTTATGCATTCTAAGTATTAAAATGTTAGAATCTATATACCAACCCAAAACCATTTGTTTTGTTATCATATCAAACATAACCATTTGTTTTGTTAGCATATCAAACATGGCAACCTAAAAAAACTTATAGAATAAACTAGTTCATAAAACTAAAATATGTGATGTCACCGCACCATGTGGTGAGCTGAGCTAGATATGGTTAAGTATAATGAAGATTGCCCTCCTTATTTTCACCGTAACATCAAACCTTATTATATACTTATTATAAATATCAATTAAACTTATAAATTTTACCAAACTCAATCTCCTATGCCTTATCTCTTTACTTCTTTTAATTAAATTTCTACACTCAATGGCTTCAACCAATTCCCGAAACAACACCACCATAACGTATGATGGAAACGAATTGTGTTACTACTTACTAGTTCCACCTCAACAACTAAACACATTTTCTTTTTGAGTCCTCACCATAACCATACTACCCAGAATTTAAGAGCCCTATTTTTTTCACTCGTCCAATTTTAGTTCGTCGGATGCACTGCACTCGTTTTATCTTACGCAAGGATCATAAAATGCATTTTCTATTTTCCAAACCTATCACACGTCCACTCCTAAAACCCGATTCCGACCCCAACCTAAAGCATCATGGTCGAAAAGAAAAACCAAGAAAGCCACTCACCTTAACAATTGACAACAGTCAAAGAATTAAATATCATTAACATGTTCGTGGGCCGACATTTCAGAGGATGTGGTTGCTGATAAGGTGCAATCGCTGAAACGTATTTGGAACACAACAAAATTGGGCAAAATGCACAAAAGTGTATAACAACTTATGCAATCAAAACCACTTGGGTTGTGGTGGCTTGGTAAGGCATGTGGAAGATATGGTGGATAACCTGTTGATCCATGTTCAAATCCTGGCACCACTCAGCCCTTGTGGCCATGAAGGTTCGCCTGCAGTGACTCCAGAGCATGAAACAAAGCTTTATGTTTGCAGTGGGGGATTAGTCGGTGCGCGAAAGCTGACCCGGAAACCCTCGTTAGGGAAGATCCCTTTCCAAAAAAAACTTATGCAATCAATGTCAAAATAGTCAAAGCCGTGAATATTTTATGGCAAAATGCCCAAAAGTGTGTATTGTGCTACCATTGATCGTGTAAGTGGTGTTTCGAAACGTGCAAACCAACACAATCATATGACATACTAAAAGTAAGATGTTCCACAACTTATAGTCTAAACTAGTTATGATGTGACAAAAATATTATATATTTTTTTAGATAAAGATATAACATGTTGAAATGGATTTTCATGTATATGCAGATTTTTAGGTACCCTATGTAAGCAAAATGAATCATACTTTGAAAGAGATGAAGCTTTGTTCCTCATCTTTTGAATAAAACGCCCATTGTAAAAACTTTTTCCAAATACATTAGATGGGAATTTTCCCAAAGAGTAATTGAGCCTCGTGCTTTTACCATTCATATAAATGACATAACCCGACACTTGTTGAGCCTCAATTCCTTCAACACAATCTGTAACAATTAACGACAATACGTTAAACTAGTTCTGCGTAAACATAAAAGGGTTAATCTAAAAAAACATAAAAGGGTTAATAAATAAATAAAAACCTTATATTCTGTATTTTTACTTAAATTTATTTTTTACTTAAAAAAAACATTTTATTTTTTCATATTTTTCAAAAAAAAACCTTAACCTTTCTTTTTTTCTCGAAATAACTCTCACATTTTACAATTTTCCAGTCAATTTTTTTGAAGTTTAATCTGGAAAAAATACGAAATATAAGATATTTTTTAAGATTAATTCAAATATAAATTATTAATGACATCTAATCTACGAAAAGGGAATTTGTAACTTACCTCTGAGATCTAACTCGGTCAAATTTTATAAACCCCTGGATGTAGAATTTCGCCTACAATACGATTTTGCTTGGTCAAGTACTTTTCAAGGACATGCACTCGCCGCCCATCCTGTGTAGTTATATCGTTGCAAATTGTAAGCTTGATTTGTTTTCTACACTTATGAATTCTAATATATAATCGGATAAACTGATACATGCGAGTCTACCATCAAATATACGGTCTGAGTATTTAAATATCCTCAAATACCTTGGACAAACCAAAAAAATAAATCCTTATTACTATTATAAGTTATTATTTTTAAATAAATATTTATACAAATATCATATAATTAAAAAAATTGGGCCTAAAAAAATTAGAGCCTTTACAACTCCTTACTTTACCTCTTCCATAACCAAATACATTCAAATCAAAGTATTCTCTCCCTTAATGAATATACAAGTGTATATCAACAAAACATTTTACCGTTTATAAAATAAAAGAATTAAAAAACTTAGACAAAACTATAAAAATGGTTCTTATGGTATGTATTTTTCTAAGGTTTAATCCAAATCTTGATTTTTTTACTTGATTTCCTTTTAGCTTTGGTCTCTCAAAACTAAAATGAATAAATTATCCTTATTATATTTATTTTCTATTTTTTTCAAAAAATATTTATATTTATTTAAAAAAATAAGGACCCACATACCCCTGGTCGTTTTCTTCCTCAAGAATACCCACAACTCCATTGCCACCGAATGTAATCTCAGCCTCCGCCACCATCGGCGGCAAAGCTCATCCGCCACTGTCTGCCGTAGCAAAAGCCTAAACTTTCTAACATCAGGAACCTACACAAGCTTCTCATAACTAAACTTCTGTTGAACATATACTACAACAACAAGAAAAGTTATAGTTACAGGAATCCCAATATCCCCAATCTTTAGATAAAAATCAAGATGCAAGTTCACAAACTCATGATCCTCAAAAAATATGGGTTCGAGATTGGAGTTTGAATGCAATCATAAACATGAAGAATAAGTCGAATCATGGTTAACCCCATAAAAACTCAGAGCTTTCGAAACCCAAAACTTGAAAAAACCCTTCCTCATCGCCTTCACCGCCATCTCTCCTCTCCTCCCCTTCCCCATTAACTTCACCACTCCTTCCATTGTTTCAACCACTTTCTTAATCAAACATTCTCTGTCTTTTGTAGGTTTTAATCTTTATATATGTTTTAATCTTAGATTAGTATTTTCTTTTATTTTATGAGTCAAATAACTAGGTTGAATGGGTCATTGGACCGGGTATTCTGGAAGTAATTTAGATGGTTAGGATGTGGCTTGAAAACAGGAAAGTGGACTTAGTATTGTTTGGAGTCGTTAGGTTTTTGTAGGCTATAAAAGCCATCTATTTTCAGAATAAAGTTGCAGCCGTTTTTGAGTCACGATCACTTCTTTCTTCCTCTACATATTTCTCACGTGGTATAACTGAGTAATACATATTTTTGTTGCTGCAGCAAAGTGTGTATACAGGGCCTGATTTCCAACACCTTTTCCCCCGACTGGAAAAAGCCAAAATCACAAGAAAAAAACCAACATCAAAACAGAGAGAAGGGAGAAGGGAGATGTAGTGGTCGAGCTGAACGCTGATAGGGCTATAGTTGGGTGATGGCTAAAGTTAAACTAAACAACACTGATTTAGGCTTTTCTCCTTGAGTTTCTGGATGAACCCGATTTGGGGTTTTTTACCCAACTCAAAACAAAGAGAAAGAAGAAGTGAGATGTGGTGGTGGCCGACAATCTCTTAACAGCAGGTATAAATGGTGGTGGATAAACTTCCAATTGCAGTTTTCGATTGCATTCCTGGAACCCAATTTTCCTTAAACAACAAAGAATCAAGTAGCAGAGAGAAAAAAAACGGTCGTTCAATAATTTGGTGAAGAAGAGGGTTGTCGCATGATATTTTTGTGATGAACAGGACGTGTAGATGGTGGCTTTAAAGCTGATGATCAGTGGTGTTGGTTTTATGTAGATGGAGATGGGTTTGTTATACATATCCTCTTCAATGTATGTGTAAGTTTAAGTTGAGAGAGAGAGAGTATTTTTAATTAGAAAAAATTAAATTAAATCGAAAAAATATTAAAAAAAACCAATTAGAAATGCATTTTAGTTATTTTAATTTTCGAGGACCAAAATCAAAAACAAACTGTATCAAAAGAACTACAAAAAAAAAAAAAAAAAAAAAAAAAAAAAAAAAAAAAAATCAACGTTTCGACTAAACCTAAAAAAAACATATCACAGGGACCATCTTTGCAATTTTGTCAAATATTTATTATATTCTTGAATGGTTAGTTGGTAATATCAACAAAACAATAAGAGAATAAAGTGTACTTTAGCAAGAGCAGCTCTCACGACACCAGCACCAACAATGATGACATCGGTGCTTCTACCGGTCTCCGACAGCTCAATTAAACCATCAACACTGGAGACTTTATCATGAGAGTTTTGGCAGATCACCTTCAACTTCTGACGAGATTTTACCATTGTCAATCCGA